GAAGCATAGTCATTGATTTATTTCCTTTTGTACACAAAAGAGAAAAAGATAATTCTAAAGCCTTTTTAGCTATGGTCTTTATCTTCTGAAATTCAAATTCAAATGCTAAAAAGTTAATGTGAATTCTTTCCCCATCATCAAATGGCATGAAAGACCTGTGATTATATTTACAGGATGTATATTAAACTTTCAAGATCCAGGTGTCTCAAAAAGTGCTTGTGCAAAACAGACTTCAAGTATAATTTCATCACCATTAAATACAGAACATGATTAGATTATAGTAAAAGTTTTCCTGTCTCTCTAGCTTTCTCTCTAAAATTTATTCATTTTAGCTGTCCAGAGTTCCTTTTGTTACTTGAGCTGCTAATTGAAGATGATTTCCAAAGCCTGAGGTGAGATTTCCTTTGTTAGAACTGAATTAGAAAGAGCAGGACCTAATCACTTGATTGCAAACACAGACAGCTAGATTTTGGAAAGGGAATATGGGATTATAACATTCTCCTTCTAAACAGGTGTTCCTAATGTATATCTGATCTGAAATTTAAAATTCCTATTATTTAAAGCCAGGCCAAAAGCCAGGTCCGAGAATCTTCCTGTGACCTAACCTCTCCTCATCCTGGTGACTGACTGTAGCATTCAGTCTGCACTTTGCCATTTTGCATCTGACAGGCTGCTTTATATAATGGTAAAAACCACAGTTACTTTTACACCAACCTAATAAAACGTTCTCTTGTCATTTCATTATGTGTTGTCTCCCAAGCAGCTTAAACAAGAATGACTTCTGCAGGGAGTTCAGATGCTATGTCATAATTCTTCGGTGAACCACCTTACATACTCCTGTGAAGGGCCTGTGACCTTTCATCTAATATATGTAGGAGAAGATATATACCAGGGTAAAGGGACATTATTAGACTTTGACTCCTTTACTGCAAGGCTTGATAATTTCAATTGAATTGTTCTGAGTGCCATGGTTAGAGGAAGGAACCTGACTTACTACTTCTGCTGGAGGAGGACACTTTTAATGAAAGAAAAACATGATAGATGTAATTCAGTGGTTTTAAGAAGCAGTGTTGATGATAATCCAGGAAATGGGACATTCATATTAATATAATATCTAGATTAGCTTCAAACTCCATGAATCAAGGTAGAGAGGATTTTGATATAACAAAGATATTATTTTTTTGAGACAGAGTCTTGTGTCACCCAGGCTGGAGTACAGTGGTGCGATCTCGACTCACTGCAGCCTGTCTCCCGGGTTCAAGTGATTCTCCTACCTCAGCCTCCTGAGTAGCTGGGACTACAGGTGCCCACTATGATGCCTGGCTAATTATTGTATTTTTGGTAGAGATGGGGTTTCATCATGTTGGCCAAGCTGGTCTTAAACTCCTGACCTCCTATGATCTGCCCACCTCAGCCTCCCAAAGTGCTGGGATTACAGGTGTGAACACCGTGCCCAGTCCTGGTCTTACATTTTTATAGTCCCCACTAGATACATTATTTTCCAGTAACATTTCTTCTCAAAAATAGATGTACTTGACTGTTGTTGATTCTTCTGGGAATAAACTATGTCTTTGGAGACAGTTGTTAGGTTATAAAAATAACCTTACTAAGGAACTCCCATGCAGTCCTCCAAAAATATTAATTTCCTGATTTCAAGAACTGTTATTTAACAAAGTTGTTTTTAGGGTTGAACCCTCTAGGAGCAAATGATGTGTTTCACCTTTTGTAAATGGAGAACCGGTCAACAGTTGGCAGGTGTGTGTTTGACACTGGCTAATGCTGGGCTTACTACTCTAAGAGCATGGTACTTTTCAGAAAGTAAAGAGAATTGTTTATCAGATACTAGGAACCGTACACAGGCCTGCTCAAAATGACAGCTTTAAAGCCACCTTTAGGGCTCTTCCTGATGGAATATACCAGTGGGAGAGTACAGAAGGAAGAACGCAATTTGTATGAATACAAGTAAAATTAAGGTTGAGTATATTTTCGGATCTTGCCCAATGCATTCATTCTACTTGCTTCTTTCTAAGTTCTTATTTGGAACTGGCCGGCACCTTCACAAATCTTTGGGTATTTGTAATTTTAGCAGCCTCTATTTGGCAGTATTTTCCAGAGCAGTACGTTTTAAACTTTTTCACTATAGTCCACAGTAAGGAATATATTTTACATAATCACCTAATATATGATATGTGTATCTGATATTTTCCATTCTAATTTTTTCATTAAAAAATGCTGGGTATGACTCATTAAATAACATCTCATTAATGGGTCAAAACACACAGTATAAAGAGGGCACAGATTCTGGTATTGCTACATATATCTGTGATATTTTCACTTCTCACTATTTCCTCCTCCTCTAGGTCTAGCAGCTCAGGATGCTATTTCTTATTTGGCAGGGACCATTAGTTTCAACTTCTGCTCTAAAACCTGGAGTGTACCTAAAGTGCTCTTCAGTGCTGTTATGGTCCCACTAAGTACTTACTTTTAGTAAGAGACAGTTTTCTGTCTGGAATCCTCACTTCTACCTTTCATTGCCAAGATTTCATACTAAAGTACAAAGAAGAAACTTTTTAAAAATTTTTGAAATGATAGCCAGCTGCTACTTAAAGGAAATAACTCAGTGGGACTTTGACTCTTTCTGAAAATGTAGCTGGCTAAATTGCTTCAATTTAAAGGGCACAGACTATGTTACCATTCACTTACTAAAATGGAACATGAGAAGTATAAACATGCTTTCAAACATATTTAGAAATACAGAAGTTTCTTAAATCAGGTCGTATTTATTAAGAGCACAATACATAATATCTTGGAATTCAGATTATCTATTGTGATGTTTATTCCTGAACAGGTTAGTCCTAAAGAAAAAGTTAATTGTTTCAAGGGAGGTAACAGAAGAATTTTAAGTAAGGATTATATTAAATATACCTAGTTTGATGCAAACTGAGTTTTATTCAACGTTGGAGGCCTCACTGTGTTCCTCTAAGTTTTCAACCATTAACAACCCAAACCGGTTGCTTCCCTCGTACCAACACTTGCTGTGTGCGGTGGTTCTCCCTCTGTTCTTAGAACAGCTGGTATCTGGTTTCTTCTGCCTTTTTTTTTTCGAATTTGATTTACTTTTTGGTAGGAATATTTCAGCGGGGGCATATGACCTTGTGGCATTGAATAGATGTTCATAAAGTTGCTTAGCCTCAGGACACATGCTCAGGAGACTTTCTACAGAGGTCGATGCTAGCAGTTGTTGGCACAGTCCGTGCACCAGGCTTCCATTGTACAGTCTGTTCAAAGGGAGAAAAAGTATGTTGTTAAAGAACTAATTCAGTGCAACAGGGTAACTGTCATTAACATAGCTTCAACAGATGCATCTAAACAATCTGAGCTCTTACTGCTCTGTAATATTATTGAAATTACTTAGGAATAAGCTGTTCTTTGAAGGAAGGAACTTCAGATTCTAATTTACATGATGAATGCTCAGTGGTTTTGCAGCTAGCCCCAGACTGAGCAGGCATCTTTAACACTTTAAAGAAAAGGAATTTAAAAGGACCTTGATAAACCAAACAGTTCCTTAGAATATGAGAAAATTTAATGGCATCATTTGCAAGGTCATTCACTGGGACTAAAAACCTACTTCACAAGAAGATGGGATTAATTGGAATCCACAAGTTTAATATATTATGGACAAAGCTGATAAGGCTGGGACTTTATCAATGATGGTCTAGAACCATTATTTAATCAGTGTAAAAATCTCTGTAAAAAGCTTTGGTTATGCTGAGATTCAAGAACAGTCCTGCTGTTTAAATCATTATGAAGAGAGCTGTTTGTTTGGTTTTGCATTTCCTGTTTTATTTTAAAAGGATTTGTAGTAACTAAAGAGGATCCATTCAAGAATGACCTTAAATTATTAAACAAAAGAAATCAAGAATCCACAGGTCAAAGGCTAATTAGTATTCTTTGGGTTAGCTCAGATATAAGGCCCAGAGATATATTAACAACACTGTTTACTGCCGGAGGCTTTTTATCTTGAAACATATCCCACTGTATTTTGTATGCCTCCATATATCCTCATTCAAAGTACTAAAGGCATTGGGGCTACAACAGTAAATAAAATAGACAAGTCCCTGCCCCGTAGAGTTTATATCTGAGTGGAGACAAAACATTATCTCCTTTTTATCTTAATCTCTTCTGGTACGTCCCAGATGGGCAGTTACCAAGATGTCCAATCCATTGATCCTGTCAACTCTTCTCACTGCTCCACACCCTACTGCTGCCCTCATTTCTTTTTCTCATACCCAGCTTAAACTCCACAGACAAACATTATAATTACTAGTGGCACAAAGGTTCAATTCCCTTACTGTCTTTCTTGCCTGGCAAAGCAAACATCCTATGTTAAGTTCAGTTGGGCATCTACTCATCATCTCACTTAGAATGAAAGCTCCATTAAGGCAAAGATTTTGTTGTCCCTACATGCTAGCACAGGGTGGGCATTTAATAAATATGTAAATGAATGAGTAAGCAATATGACAGGTGGTAAGAAATGATGTTACAAAATACAGTAACAGGACTAGAGTGAAGGAGGGTAGACAGTATGTCTCACTAGGGTGGGTTATCGGAAACAGGCTCTACAATGTGACATTTATTAAAGACCGAGAGGAAAGGAGTGAGTTATATCCTACCAACAATTACCTCCCTCTCCCACATATTAATGTTTTACTTAAAGGAACTGATTTTTAAAAATTTGACTGAATTATGGAAACATTCTTTGGGAATATGGAAATAATTTAATATTTTTCCTGGTTCCAGCTCTTCAACTGTAACAGTGACTCAAAATGAATTACACTAAGATTAGTTTTTTTAAAGTAACTTTGTTGCTTTAAATGTAAGTGAAAGTACTGTATTTACTTTCTGTGCTTCCATCTGAACTAAAGTTTCCCATGGTGCTTACCGAGTTAGGTCTGGCTCTGGCAGAGGAGTGGACAGCAGCTGGTTGAGATACAGCCCCATCTGGAGACAGGACTGCCACTGACAGAAGACGTGAGCTGCGTCTAAGTCCAGTCTTGTGCCCAGCCGTGTCTGCGCCTTCACTCTCTGGAACTCTTCATACAACATCTTAGCACCTTCCTCCTGCAGCTCTTCCTTACCTAAAGAAAGAAAGAACCCAAGGGCAGTGTTTCCAAAAGCACTGTAACAGCTTGTAATTTTCTCCACATATACTACAAATTCCATAAAGAAAAGAAATCAGTTTTAAAAACTAAGATGTTTTTCCTTTCTGGCTTCATAAATGCCTTGCTGTATAAATTGAAATACTGATACTGAACTGTCTTTTTAAGGATGACCTAATTTTATTCAACTCACGAGAATTTACTTTTTCCCTGAAATAAGATCTCTTCCACCTGACATAAACATGTCTGCATCTGAACTGTCTAAATCCTACATCTGTGTCTATGAAAAATACAAATGACTATTAAACTTCATTCTTTTCTCTTTCAACAAAGCTCCCATGTTGTAGTGCATGTGTTAAAGAAACAACCCATGTGTTCAAGGCACATTTTGATCTCTATGTTTTAGGGGATAATTTGGCAAATAATCAGCCTCTTTTCATAGCAGAAGAAAAGGGGCAAGAAGCAACAATCCTAGGAAATAAGGAATGTTGCTTGTGTTTAGCTGTAAGTTTCTACTGGTTTGTTTGGGCAGCGGTGCACAAAGTAACATCTGGACCAATTTGAAAACAATGAAAAGGAGGCCCACCTGTTACCAACTAGCGAGCAGCAAGGCACTGAGCCTGCCCGGGTACGGGGTCCACGTTTCCTAAAAGAAAAGAAACAGACCCTTGACATGCCCCTGCTGTTGGACTCAGGTAAAAACTTAGTAGGCTTGTGCTCTGAGAGCGTTCTTATACTGTATTTATTATTCAATCAGTGGAAATATGCTAAACCTGTGTTCGTAAAGCAGCAGTGGGCCATAACTGATTGGTTTTGTGTTAAGTTGGCTGTGGTGTACCAACAGTCCTTCTGACAACTGCTGTCAAGCTTGAGCCTTAATACTTGGGAAACAGGAGTCCATGCTGTTTTATTCTTTAACTTATTCTTGTAAAATACCAAACTACAGAGTAGCACTATCTAATAAAACTTTATGCAGTGCTGTCTAATACAGTAGGCTAGCCTGTAGCCATAGGTGACTACCTGACACTTGAAGTGTGGCTAGTGTGACTGAGAAGCTGAATTTTTAATTTAAATGGAATTTAACTTGAGCCATGTGTGGCTAGTAGCTACCGTATTAGATAGTATAGTACTATTCTAGAGTATAATTATTATACATGTTTGTACAGTATTATAGCATTTATAATCTTTAAAGAGGATATTTCATTAGAGTATTAAAGTGTCCCAGTGCTTCAGCATTTACTTCATCTGGTATTATATGCAGAGGAACTTGCCTCAGTGTATTTTTCTAGTAGGAAGAGAAATTACGGGCCGGATGTGGAGGCTCACCCCTGTAATCCCAGCACTTTGGGAGGCTGAGGTGGGTGGATCACGAGGTCAGGAGTTCAAGACCAGCCTGACCAAGATGGTAAAACCCCATCTCTACTAAAAATACAAAAATTAGCCAGGTGTGGTGGCAGGCGCCTGTAATCCCAGCTACTCGGGAGGCTGAGGCAGGAGAATCGCTTGAACCCAAGTGGCAGAGGTTGCAATGAGCTGAGATTATACCACTGCACTTCAGCCTGGATGACAGAATGAGACTCTGTCTTGAAAAAAAGAGAGAAATTACTATTCCTGCCATCACTACTTACACACTTATTGAAATTTAGAGAAAAAGGAACAAAAAGGTGTATAAGCAAGAATGTCTGCAGTGGTTGTAGGTATTTAGAAGTTTCACCTCTGGGCAAGTTTCTTGTGATGACATTGCTGCTGTGCTAATAATGGGATAGGGAACATAGAACACAAAATGCAACTGGCAAAATACACTGTCACACTTCATAAGTTAAAGCAGTAGGTGCCACAAAACAGATGGCAGTTGGCAGTATCCCAACACATCTCACTGCTGTACACTTAGATTCAAGCCCTCCAGCACTGAGCCTGGCACATACAATGTTAAAAAAATATTTACCAATGAATGAATGATAAATTGGTGCCTCTACTTCTAAGTTCTGATGTAATTAATGGAAGTAAATAATCCAAGAATGCTTTTTTGTTTGTGTAAACTCTCGAGTAAACAGTTTGCAAGCAACATGCAACAATATACTCCTGGAATTTCCAGGTACCTACCAGGGCTGTTGATTATGGTAATTAAGGGCCCCACTAGCATTCCCAGCAGTAAGGATTGTAGATGATGTAGTTTTGCTTTGCTCTCCGTGTGCTGCAACCAGTAGCAACTGACAGCAATGGGCAACTTCAGTGAAGCAGGGATTGGCCCCAGGATGGCCTGTTTCACCTTCAGAGTTTCTAACAGAAGCATCTGCCGCCTCCTCAAGGAGAGCTGAAAATACACACCAAGCATCCTGCAAGTTACTTTGGGAAATGTCCTTTTCTTTTCCTCCTTAGCATGAAGAGATTTAATACAGATGAAACTTCCGTGTCAGCTGTTAAAACTTATGTTGTGGGAGGAAAGAAAAATCAGCCACACTCAAAACTTAGAACATTACTAAGATGCTTTAAAAACATGGTTGGTTGAATGGGTGTACTGCCTACTTCTACACAACCTTTACTTACATCACTCCATCCTCTTTGTATACACTGCTGAGCTTCTTCAGTGCACGTGTCACCTGGGAAGCTTGTTAAAAATTCAGTCCTCAGGCTCTACTCCATAAATTTTGATTCACTAATCTGAGGGAGAGCCCAGGAATATACATTTTAACTAACAGCCCCAGAAGGGACCTTACACGTCACTCACTCAGGACTATTAAAAGGGCATCTTCTGGGGGACTTTATAATCAAACTTTGAGAGAAAAAAAAAAGTTGTATTTCTAGTGTCTGCACACAGCCAGAAACTGCCTTCTGGAAATACGAGATGGTGGTACATTTCTCAGCATGTAACGTCTAGTTAGTAGAAAGTGTGGCTGACAGCTGAGACTAGAGATGTTAACTTGAAACAAAACATATCATAAATGACAAAATAGTTTTATCACAATGCATAAAAACTTGAGTATGATTACTTCTAAATACTGCTTTTAGTAATATTGTAATAAAAATTTTTAAATTAGAAATATGCAAAGTGCTTTATAGTATAATGAGTCACCCCTACTGGAAGTAGTTTTAACTACTTAAAATAGAAACTGAACTCTCGGAGTCTCGCTGTGTCACCCAGGCTGGAGTGCATTGGTGTGATCTTGGCTAACTGCAACCTCCCCCTCCCAGGTTTAAACGATTCTCCTGCCTCAGCTTCCTGAGTAGCTGAGATTACAGGCATGTGCCACCACACCTGGCTAATTTTTGTATTTTTAGTAGAGCTGGAGTTTCACCATGCTGGTCAGGCTGGTCTCAAACTCCTGACTTCATGATCCACCTGCCTCAGCCTCCCAAAGTGCTGGGATTACAGGTGTGAGACATCGTGCCCAGCCTGGAAACTGAACTCTTAAACTGGGTTTTAAAATGCACTAAGTAGAGCTAAGAAAATACACCAATTCTTTTCTGATATATAATATTTAAATTACTGAATTACAAGAGCCAAGTTACAACTTTTTATAAACAACACAGTCTGGGCTTATGACTTCAGAGATGTTCTGCCCTGCACCAGCCCTATGGCCTTGGTTGAAAGGTTTCCAACCTTTTCTACAGTCTTATCTGTAAAATGGTCATTATAACGACTTGCACAAGATGTTTCATCAAACCCACCAGTCCTCAGTCCCTTCCAAACGGGGAAGTACTCAATTCATAGCCCTTAGAGTTAGTTAGGTTTTATCCCATGTGACAACTCCTTTGCTTCTTCCCCAGAGGGAGCGAAAGCACAAGCCTGCAGAAGTAGCTGCCCAGAGAGGCAGAGATGCCCAGAGAGACTGGTCTTGGCTGCCTCACTCCCTAAGAATGATCCACTTCTGTGTCTCCTTACGATTATCTTCTATTGGTTAACTTGAGTGGTGCTCTGTCCATTGCCATAACCAAAACGAAACCCTATCCTATGAGGTTATTGTGGGAATTAAATGAGAGACTATAAACTTTCTATTAACAGCTGCCTAAAGCAGATAACATATTACAACATGATGTTAAAAACAAAACGGATAGGTAGTATCACAAAGTTTGTATACTTGTACCTGCATTTGTGTTTGGAATCACATTACCTGGTATATTTATAATTTTCATGGGCTAATTAGAACTATTAACATTGAGCTAAATTCAGAATTGATTTGTTTATGCCAGGAGAAAGCTGGGTATAGCACAGCACAGAGAGTGAACTAAAATTTCACCCTATTTTGAATCCAGGTAAATGATGAGAACACTTAAGTCATCTCCACTTAGCAAGGAATATAAGCAGCTTGCTAAACTCATTGATTCAGTTGGATTTCCATATGGGGGAAAAAGTGTCCTGATCCCTATTTCATACCATACGCATACACAAAAAATCAATTCTAAGGTAAGTTATACATCTAAATGCTAAATGTGAATGGCAAAAAAATTTTCATGACCCTGGAGTAGGCAATTTCTTAAGCAGTTCACAAAAGTGGTAACCATAAATAAAAAAAATTTAAATTAGAGTATATTAAGAACGTCTGTTCATCAAAACATACTAAAGAGTGAATAAACGATGGGAGAGATTATTCACAATGTTATTTGACAAAGGACCCGTATATGGTAATAAAAATGAGCAAAAAACTGTACAGAAACTTCACCTAACAGAGTATTCAATGGCCAGTGAACACATGGAAATGGAGAATTGGAAAGAACCCAAATGCTTATAAGCTGTACAATGGAAAGAAAAATGCTCATAAGCGTATAATGGTAATATATCAAAGAAGAATGTTACAGCAACAGGAAATGAATGATCAGCTACTCACAGCAATGTGATTGAATCTCATGTGGAATAAAAGCCAGATGAAAGAATTCATTTCTAAAGTAAAAATTTAGCTAAAACTATTCTATGTTGTTAAACGTCAGGATAGTGATTATAGGGAGTTGCAGAGTGAGTGACTGGAACCAGACACTAGGGTAACCTTCTGGGGTGGTGATCATGATTCATCTGGATGCTCTTTGCATGGATGTATAGACCTTGCCAAAATGTATCAAGCTGTACAATTATTTGTGCACTTTACTATGTTTATACACAAGGAAGCATGAATTACAAAGGAACAAGATGAAACCTTAGGGGTTATGGATACATTCATTATTTTAATTGTAGGATGACTTCACAGATATAGACATGTCAAAACTCATCAAAGTGCACACTTTATGTGCACTTCACTGTACATTACTTATTTTCTCAGTAAAGCCATTAAAAAGTTTTCAATCCTCTCCAACAGCACCATTTATGTTAGAGTTTTAGAAGTGTAACTTCAGCAAAACATTCAGAATGTAGCTAGTTTGAATTTTTTTTGGTGTGGGTAAAATGTTAGTAAATCTCTTGTTTGAGAATTAGACCTATGTTCCACTTTCTAGTTTTGTACCCCTGGAAATGTGCTAAAGGTAGATTGTCAGTTGTGTTACCAAGAAGTATAAAAATGACTTATAAAATTGCATTTAAGCTTAAACTGTATATAAATGAACTATAAAGAGCTGATGGGGACGCCATGTCTTGGGGCTCCCCTGAGTGTAGTGTGCTGTAAGTAGTATGTCCTTTGCAGGGACATAGCTTTGTTTATGGAATTATTATAAGAAAGACTTGGTCCTACAGAGAAGGAGGTTTTTAAGCCAGTGAAACCATTTTTTTCTCCTTTAACTGATAAATAATTCATATGTCATAAAAGTCATCCTTTTAAAGTATAAATTTAGTGGGTTTAGTGCATATATATATTTTTAGAGACAGGGTCTTGCTCCACAGACAGCACAATCATAGCTCATATCCAGTCCTGACCTCCTGGGCTCAAGCAATCCTCCCACCTCAGCCTCTTGAGTAACTGGGACTATGGGCCTGCACCACCATGCCTTGCTAATTTTTTTTTTTTTTTTTGTAGAAACAGAGTCTTGTGTTGCCCAGGATGGTCTTGAACTACTAGCCTCAAGTGATCCTCCCACCTTGGCCTCCCAAAGTGCTGGGCTTACAGGCATGAGCCACCATGCCTTGGTTTAGTGTATTTATAAGCTTGTGCAGCCATCACTAATTCCAAAACATTTTCTTCACCATCCCTGCAAAGAAACCCTGGGGGTTTAACAGTTACTCCTCAATGCCAAGAAGGCTCTTGCACTCATTCACTAAGAAGTTCATCTCCTGCCTGAGATGTGACTGTTGGGGAGGCTAAGAGGCTAGTTCCTGGTCAACCGTATAGGCCAGGGATTCATACTACTGACATTTTGGGCTAGAGATTCTTTGCTATAGGGCACTTTCCTGTGTACTGTAAGACCTACAGATTGTAAAATTTAGCAGCATCTTTGGCCTCTTCCCACTAGATACCAAGAGCAACCACTACCCCTCCTACTCTCTAGGTAGTGACAACAAAAATGTCTCCAGGCATTGCCAAATGTCCTCTGGGGGACAGAATCACCAGTGGTGGTAAACCTTTGGCATAGACTGATAACAGTGCTGGGAGAGCTCTGCCAGGAAAGGAAAGCCTGACCTAAACCTGCTGGGAAGCTGTGGTTGCTGTCCTACATCCTTGAGTAGACTGGTGCCACGTGTGGTCTGTGAGTCTTATAAGACTGAATATTTCAATGGATCTAAGGAAACCCCCTAATGGGCACTGTAATTTTTTTTAAAAGTTATCTGTATTTAATTTGTAAATCTAGTTCTTTTATCAGCATAGTTTTATATCTATTTGTAATTTTAAATATACTTATGTAATATAAAAAGACAACACTGGGATCCATGAGAATTTCTTTCTCCTTGAAAAGGTGACTGGTCTGAGTGTTACTTAGGTTTAAGCAACACTGAGTTAGGCTAAGCGTCATGTTTTCAGTATCAAACTAAGCAAATAACCATAATGACACAAAAACCTATTTTTAAAAAGGTCTTCATTAATAAAAGTTAAAAAATTAGACCTTAGTATCAGTACTAACCTTATTTGAAATCTGATACAGTCTGAGATGTTATGCCTATGACTAGTGTCTATACACACTTTTTTTTTTTGCAGTTCAGAATTTCCTATTTTTTCCAGCCATGTAACTCCATTCTACTGATAGCTAGTAATAATATAGTAGTAATAACTGTGAAGATAACACAGACTACTGTAGTACAGTGGAAATGGTAGATTTAGAGCTGAAAGAGCTGGGTTTGAGTCCTAGCACTGACACTCTCTGGCTAAGAGATTACCTAGTTCACTCAAGTTCTTGATTTCTTAGCTATGAAATGACAGCAAGATAGCCCTGAACCTCATCAGTTTGTTACAGTAAGAGAGATAATATACAAGACAGCACTTGTGAAATGCTTTACAAAATTTTCGTTAGTATTACAAATACCTACCTCAGTCAATTTGCTTAAGTCAGAATGATCTTTGGGCAGTTCTACTGCATCAACAATTGAGGTTTTGATATTTTTATTAATCCTTTCCACTTCACTGAAAGCTAGAGGCCGAGAAGGCAACACATTCCCAGATGTCTTTTCCAGATGTGGTGAAGCATTTAAAAGAAGCCCATAGATGATTTGCCTGATGGGCCGCGATAATCTGTGGGCATTTGGTTGCTGCATGTTTTCCACCTGTGTGTGAAGAATGGTCCGTTTTAAGACCAAAGCATCACTGATGAAAGGCGATAGCTGGCCTCTGGCTAAAGCCACTAGTACCCATTCTGGTAAACCAAGATTCAAGGCATCTGGACAGACATAAGTACCATACTGGAAGAAGTCCTGCAGCTTCACCTGGGACTGCTGGTATTCTTCCATGGAACAGCAGAGAAGTTCCTTAACATTTTCTCGATCCTTTTTTGGGAGGTATTTCAGAACATTATCTAGTGCTTCGGTAGGGTTGGCAAAATGAGACAACCAATTCAGAAGTCCCAGGACTCGGTGGTGTCTCCTCCCTTTAGAACTGGTAGCTCCAAGAGGAAGATGTGCTTTACTTAAGAATGTCTCCACGATAGGTAGATTAATATGGTCATTTCCACATAGCACCGCAAAGAGAGGTAAAAGAGCTTTATTCATATTGCTGAAGTGATGGCAGAATGCATCAAGGGAAAAGCATTTGGCAGGGATATAGTTTCGTGTGCCCTTAACAGTGTTCATATTTCTCCACTGAAAGCTGTTCAATGGGCAAAACCCAGTTTTCAAGTCAAAAATGCAGAAGTCACTATCTGATGATAACACAGGGCAATTCCAATGGTTAGCAAGTGTCATGATGTCCCGATCTGCTTCTGAAAAGCACTGGACAAAAGGTACCTGCAGCTTGATCAAAACCTGTATGAATACTTCCCGGATGAGTAAAGGACACACATACCCACTCCCACCAACAGAAAGGGAATGAGCCATCTGGATCTTCTCTCTAGCTCTGTCCTTTATAGTTGCAAGCTTTTTATCTGAAATGTCACATCCTCCATCTAATATAACATATGGGCATATATTACAAGCAAACAGTGATTCAAAGAATTTTTGTACAACATCTGCAAAGGAATCATAGTCCCCTCCACACCGGAGCTCCAAGTTCGAAGTGAAGCAAAGACGGTGGAAAAGAGCATAGCCATCAATGACAATTTTTGTGTCCCGCAACTTCAAACCAGTGAAGAACTCATTACTATGATCTTCCACAAAACTCATTAGTCCTCGGATACCCATGATGACAGTCTAAAGAATTAATCGCCTGTTTAAAACAATAGAAAGCATTTTCAGTTGATGCTGGTTAAGGGGCACCAAGTCATTGCTTCCAGCACTATTAAATCAACAGCAAATGTTAAGAAGTGCTCTTCAGATATAGAAGATAGATGTCAATATCCATGAATTCTTACCTAGATCCTCAAGCAATGTTAGTTGTGTGCCTTTTCATTCTCCTTTGCTTTCTGTTACAAGGTACAAACTCAATGGTTTCATGGGTTGTGATCTTTGGATGGTGACAGAGGCTGCTGCTAATTCTAAAGAAAAATCAGTTAAAGTCCATTACTGACACAGCAATATAGAAGTTCTGTGGACTGTGATTCTGAAGTAGACAATAGTCAACATCTTTGTGGGGTCAAAGTAAAAAGTCCTAAGCTATAAAAACAGTAGGATTATTCACTTCAAAATTACAACACATTTGGACGTCAGTAACGTAAGATGTGTAAGACCTATCATAGGGATCACGTTTTTCTTTTTTATTGACAATCACGGACCTTCTTTCAGGCTTTGGGCTTGTGGGCCCTTCTTAACTGGCATAGTTTTTTGGTATAAGGAAAACTGCTTTGTGCCTCTAGGAAGCCCTCTATCTAGTTACACCTGTAACCACGGCTCTTTTCATCATCTTATTTTGCATATCTGGCCCAGTTACTCTTCCTTCTCTGGCTGACTTAACTCACAGGATCAGTATTGATAGTTTTCCTTTTGGTGCCTCGAGCTTCAATACGGTGCGGCACGGTACTGTTACTATTACTTAAAAACATGACATTGTGTCAGTCATGGACTTTTGCAATAATTTTGATTGTTAGAGATAGTACATTAAAATGTATCTTGATTATTGAATTTTATTGGCATCCATTTACGTTTTACGATTACCTCACCCTAGTCACAGCCCTGTCAATGTCTCAGAACCTTATCCTGTATAGTACTCATTTTTTTTTTTGCAAGGCAGTCTTGTAAAGCGTTCATACGCAGACACCCTGTCAACGTGTTCTATGCAAATTACAGGGCCTTGCACACAGTTCAACAAATGCTAGCTGCATAGGGGAAAGGCGGGCAAAAGGTTTGACCTAAGTCTTCAAACACAGGCCTTCATACACCGTGCCACCTCGGCCCTCACAACCCGCCGCCCGGACCTGCAGTAGAGCCCACCTGTGCTGTCCTCCCATAGAAGTAACTCCTCCATCCGAAGCCCGCTGGAGTCCAGCGAGGACTCGTTGTTGCATGTGAAAGTCCAAGCGCAAGAGCGGGAATCGGAAGTGTCTTAGTGTGACGTGTTGGGAAGTACAGTTCCATGAAGCCGGTGGCTCCAGACTGCGCCAAGGAGCAGGTGCTGTTGGGCCCGGAGGCGCTAAGTAGCTAAAGAAGGCTGGGACATACGTTCCGAAATGGCTGCTGTCAGACTAGAAAAGCTTGGCCCGCCGGTACTTCTCTCCTTTCTCCGACTCACTTTCTCCACTTCCGCATTGGTGCCGCCTCACCCCAACTTCCCAGTATGCTCCGCGCCGTCTCCCTGGCGACGGTGCCAAACAGCTGTAGCTTGCGTTGTCTGGCGCTCGGTGGGTGCGGTTGACCCTAGTTTGAGGCCTGCCGGATTACCGGCAAGGCTTGGGCTGGCCCAGGGCGCCGCCGCTCCTGTGACCACAACAGGGAAAGGTAAAGAGAACTGTACTCTTCGGGGCTCGTCAGGCTCCCCTGCAAGGGGGAAGGTAATGGTTTCAGCCTTCCCAGGCTGGGTTCCGAATCTCTAGGACTCCATAGCTGCGATCTCCTCCCTGTCCTGGACACCTTATCTCCGGATCTTCCAGTCTCAGTGCCCCACAGTAAACGTTAATGCGCTTTGCGAAAATGCAAATGTTTAAAAAGGTGAAGAAGCAAGGAATTGTTCGTTTTACCTTAAGATTAAGGTTTATCTTTAAAGTTAGATTTCTACTTGAGCAGAACCTGGTGACAAATTGTCTTTCTCTTATTACTTGGGAAGATAACTACTGGTTTTCATCTTGTGATGACTACTCCCCCTTTGGTTGTCTTTTGCGCCCAACCAGATCTGTTTCACCGAGAAGGGGTAGTTTGCATAAGGTGGTAACTTTCTCCAAGTTCCCATCTAGCTTTCTTAACCAACATTTTTTTCCCTCCTTTGGACGTCAGTTGATCTGCTGAACACTTATTTGCCCAAACAAGGTTTATTAAACACCTAGTATATGCCAGGCATTATGCCAGGCATTGGGGATTCAGAGATAAAGAAGATGTGTTCTCAGTGCCCAAGTTCATTCACAAACCTCGAGGGGGATGGTATTGTCAGTGAACAGATAGTTCTAGAATCTAGACAGTGCGACACATTCTTGGGTAGGTCTGTAGTTGCACAGAGGAGACTAATGGATGGATGGCCTAAAAGTGGACTGGGATGGGGGACAGGGCTGAGTCTGTGAGGTTGGGCCGAGGGAACCTAGTTGCAGAGTATTCTGCAGCCTGAGCCAGACTGCTTAAGCACTGCTGGGTTTAGACTGTCCTTTACAAATAGGAGCCGCCAGAAGTGAACCTCTTATAACTATTCTGTCTGTCCCTAATTCTGTCTTTCCCTAAAGGAAACCTTAATCTCATCTTTAAAATGAGAATTACTGAGTGACCCAAAGGACCTTTTACAGTTGGAAAGACTTATTTGAACAGCTTAGTATGGCCAGATGGCATCAGTTTTATAACACTGAAGGGGAAACAAACAAAAGGTACATTTAGAGGCCTGTTCTTTGGTTGTTTTTTCAACAGATTTTACTAACATCTTTTTGGAAGGGGGAAAAAAAAGCTGGTAACTAATCTCACTGGTATCAGTTACAACTTAACTGATTAATACATTTTTAAGAAGGAAAATGTTGTAAATGAGCATTTACCAATATTTTGAGAGTTTGTGGTTAATTGCTCTCATAGTTTTTGTGGTTAACTGACACTACCATGTAAAGCCCATTGGCCATCCTTAAAAACAATAGGTTTTTGTCTCCTAGCTTTGGAACTGTTGAATATGAAAACCTAACTCCAACGTGTAGACAATTTTCAATTTAAAATTGTATTTCTATGTAGATTTTTTACAAAGCACACTTTTCATGATAACTAACAACCATTTAACATTCTGATGAAATAAAAGTGACTTTACTTTGTACCTACTCATATGAAACAGTCCTGCCTCTCATAACTGCCCATCTCATAGCTTCCTGAGGACTTACAGATTATCTGTAACATTTATATTCCACTGGCATTAAATGCAATTTTAGGTTTCAATTGAATCTGTAACTCATCCTGTTTTAAATCCAGAGAGATTGTACACAATGTGTACAATAGCAAAGTCAGAAACTAGGTTAGAATTTGCTAAGCATGGGAAAAAATTCCCTCTGAATCATTCTCCCTCTTTGCAACTATTCTAATAAATGCAAAAACTGTGCTTAACATCTACAGAAAAAAAAAAAATCTAAAGGAAATAGCATCTGATAATTCCTGGTTTAATCCTAACTCTTTGTAAACCAAAGTAACCATAAGGTGGGAAGAGGGCATTGCAAAAAGGTTGATGCAGATATAGATTTAAGGAAGTGATAATGTTCTTTTATTTTTATTCTTTTATAAGTAGGTGGGGAGTATAAATCTTAAATAAATGAAGAGATTACTGATTGTAAAACAGATATACATCCCAGAAATTTGTAGAAAGGTGGCTGTAATTCGGTTCTGCCAAATTTCAATGTACAAAGGGAGGCTCTTCCTGTGAAAGACTGCCTTCTACTAGAATTTGTGGTATCTCTACCTTTAAACATTTTTCTTTCGAGTCATTAACCAATATGGTGTCATTCAGTCCGTCTGCCGATCAAGGTGCAGATATCACTGTTGAAACTTACACTTTGTCTTAGGAATCATCTAGCATCCTTTAGATCTGATCTTTGAACATTTCATCTTTAAGGCATTGACCAACACTGTTTGGATGAATCTGACCATTTCTTAGGAGAGTTGAATGTTGTTTCTATAAATGAATGAACCAGTTCTCTGTTGTTCGGAGCAATGCTGAAATTCCAAGAGGCAGCTAAGTGTGTGAGTGGATCAACAGCCATTTCCACTTATCCAAACACCTTGATTGCAAGAAGATATGTGCTTCAACAGAAACTTGGCAGTGGAAGTTTTGGAACTGTCTATCTGGTTTCAGACAAGAAAGCCAAACAAGGAGAGGAATTGTAAGTAAAAATTCTTCTTATGAATCTTGAGTAGGTTGCTTTCTGTTTGCAGGTCTTAGCTGATTAAGAACATAAAGCAGGCCAGGCGTGGTGGCTCATGCCTGTAATCCCAGCACTTTGGGAGGCCAAGGTGGGCGGATCACTTGAGATCAGGAGTTCAAGACCAGCCTGGCCAACATGGCGAAACCTTGTCTCTACTAAAAATACAAAAATTAGCCAGGCAGGGTGGTGCATGCCTGTAATCTCAGCTATTGGGGAGGCTGAGGCACAAGAATTGCTTAAACCCTGGAGGTGGAGGTTGCAGTGAGCTGAAATCCACTGTGCTGCAGCCTGGATGACAGAGCAAGACTCTGTTTTTTTTTGTTTTGTTTTTTTTTTTTTTTAAAAAAGAACACGGAGCAGTGTCCACTTTGCTCTTTATATTACAGCAAGTATTTTGTAAAGATAGGAATGCTCCCTGATTAATCTTTCATACTAGGTTTAAAGACATTTTAGCAGGTGAATAAAGTATCCAAATGCCTTAGAGAAGGGAAATGGGATATATTATGTGAAAATAAGATGTTTGGTCATGCCATAGCCTCAATAACAGTATTGCTTCCACTTAACTTGATTGGAACTTCTTGGGTGAGAAAATAAGAATTGTTCATAATGACTATTTTTAGAAATGTTACAAAATGCAAATAAATAGTTATTCACATTTGAGATGAATAGGATATACCAAAGGAAGTACAGCATTAATTTTCTTTAGGCTTCCCATGGGAGAGGTTTTCAAATTCCGTTTAATCTGAGAAAGCCCTCAGGTTAAATACTTAAACCAAGTGGGCACTCCCATTGAAAATTAGCTTATATTGATGACCCCCTCATCACCCCTCTCTTTTGATTATGATCAGATCCTATACACTTTCATACTAGAGAACAACTCTTAATAGACAGTACCTCCCTTACAGATAAACCTGAATTTTTGGCATAAAGTTTTTTTTAAATTTGCTGCAGTGGAAAGAAAGTTGGAATTGAAGTTAGGATAAGAAACCTGCATATCAGAAATATGGGAGGAACAGAAAGCAGAAGGAAGAATGATCCAAGATATCAGCCCTTAACCCCAGAGGACCACATTTCCATCCCATAATATATTGTTTTCTTCAGAGGTTTTAAGGTTACTCTAACTTCTTCCAGCTTTTTTCCATTGGATATTTAAGAGTGGATTTAAAATCAGTGTGATAACACTTTTCTACATCTTCATATGTCCTAGGAATTGTAAAGTTAAATGTTAGTGATGTTACTACTTTGTTTTAAAAAATCAACCTTTTAAATGGCCTCTGTCCAGAATTTTTAAAAGTTGCAATTACCTAGAATTTCTAGTTTTTAGTCAATTTCTACATGAGGAATGATAAAAGAGCTGGCATTTTTCTGATGTCCTTAGAACTAACTGAAAAGGATTTTTTCCCTATCATCCTAGAGGTGCTCTTCTAGCCATTTAGAATAGGATGATAAATTTCTGACAATTACTAGAGAGCCTTTATGGAATCATTGAGAGTGAGACCTAAACCAGCCCAATACTTCTAAAAACTACACTGTCGGATCATACCCAATTTTGGTTTCTTCAACTAATGAGGAATATGAAAAATTTTAAGATGATTCACAGAAGAACTAAAAAGTTGATTAAAAGGATGTTAAATAAAATGTATGAAAATCAGACTTGAGATAATGAGTGAGTGGAGACTGTGTTTGTAGTCAGTAGGGAGGAGAGAGAGAGAGAGAGAGAGAGAGAGAAAGAGAATGAGAGATAAACAGTGGTGCTGGGGCTGGTTGGTCAGTTAGTGATTTGTTAGTGATCCTTCTTGTACCTGAACTAATCTTAAAACACGTGACTGGAGCTGAAGATGGCAGACAGAGTCTATGTTTGTGGAATGAATCCAATGGTGAGGATAACGGACAAAAATCATTTGGCACCAGAAGGTCTAGTCCAGAATCTCTGGGAAAAGAATCATTTGTCATTAGAATCTAAAACTTATTGCATACTGGCCACATTTGGCTTTCAGATGTGTTTTGTTCAACCTGGGTAATGTTTCTTTAGTAGTTAGTTTTGTTATTTATTTATTTATTTATTGAGATGGAGCCCGTCGTCCAGGCTGGAGTGCAGTGGCATGATCTCGGCTCACTGCAACCTCCACCTCCCAGGTTCAAGTGATTCTCCCACCTCAGCCTCCCGAGTAGCTGACATTACAGGTGTGTACTACCACATCTGGCTAATTTTTGTATTTTTAGTAGAGACAGGGTTTCACCATGTTGGCCAGGCTGATCTTGAACTCCTCACCTCAGGTGAGCCTCCTGCCTCAGCCTCCCACAGTGCTGGAATTACAGGCATGAGACACTGCACCCAGCCAGGAGTCAGTATTTTAAAATGAGGAGCTCATACAAATCAGGCATTTCCTCTTCTCTAGAAAAAAAAAAAAGATTGGGTAGTGTTTGCTAACATGAGTGCCTATGTAGCCACATGGGCTGCTAAAGCTAAGTAGCAGCTACTCCTTTAGACAAATTCTATGTCTCCAGTTAGCCACATTCCTCCCTCTCCTCACTGTCTCTTGCATACATCTGCATCACCTCTCCACTACCTACTGACCTTCGTAGACATTTGCTTTTGGAATCATTTGCTAAAATCCGAAAGAGTACAAATGTGACTACTCACAGAATGGTGTCATTGTTAAAATCCCAGCTTTGGATGTAAACAAGTCAAGGAGTAAAGCCAGGCCTGTTCTTCATGTGACGTCTAGATTTTGCACATTCTAATCTGAGCTTTGGTTTTCTCATCTTTAAAATGGGTATAATACCTCATAGGATTGTAATAAGAATATGATATCTGCCTATTCATGTAAGATTTAGACATCACATTGCCTTGCTCCTAATTATCCCTCAAAAACAGCACAGATTCACCTTAATCATAAATAATGTAAGTTAAAGGCATAATCAAAGGAAGCCTAACAAAACTTTGGCTAATTACCACCCAATTACTGCAACTGGACACTTCTAATAAATGGAAGGGTTTTTTTTTTTTGGCATTATTTTTAAGTGAGAAAAATCTCCCAAATAAAGCAATCTGAAACCAGGCATGCAATTTTGAAAATGTATTTAAGGATATTTCTTGAGATTGTAACAATTCTGTGGTCATCTTTTATATCTCTATGGCTGTTCAAAATAAATTGGTTCTCAGAATGTGAACCTTTTAGCTGAGATATCAACTCATCAGTGATTGTTACGTTTAATACATGTATGGAGGCAGGAAACTAAACTTGTTTTTTTTTTTAGTGTTGATACTTGAACCTTTAGTTTGTGAGCAAAGCTTGTTACTAGCACTAATCCTTGTCCAAGCAATTTGACTAGATAAGGTTTTAAATTCTGCTTTCCATACTAGACAACAAACATAGGGAACTGGCTAATGTTAGAGGGGGATAGAAGATGAATGCTTTATAGAGATTTCTATAAAGGTCTAAATGCTGTTCCCTTAACACATCAGAATACATCTGACTTCCCTTTTTGTTTTGCAGATACACCCCTAACTTTTTGAGCTCATAAGGAAGATATTAAACTATCCCTTGGTATCAGTGTTAAAGTAATGACTAGGGTAGACCATAAAGTCTGTAGGACTTATGGCTAGTTCCTATGAAATACAGATTCATTATATACATTTCTAGATTTAATCAAAGAGGTTGACAAAATGGAACAGCTGTATGTACATAGTACTTAGCAACTTTTCCATCAAAGTATTGCAATTTACCATTTTGCCACTTGGGGGCATTACTCTACCATTGACATTGTGCATATTTGGTGACCTTTAATTACAATGTAAATGCCATATTCCTTTACATTTTTTATTGACTTTCTGAATTAGCTATGAGATTAAAATAAAAGCTACAGACATTACACTTGCTTGATGCATGTTTGGAAGTTTTCTTTTTGGAATAAATATCTGGCATCCCTTTTTTCATTATCACAGTAGAATAAAATTAGACTTAAAATGCAGAGTGAATGAGATAGAGGTGTTTCCTTTATTAGGCATCACAAAATTCATAAAACAAGATTTGAGAATATTTTCTTTAATAATTATAGACACTCTGCTCTAATTATGTTGTCATAGTCCTGAGAAGATTGTGCTAGTTCTTATTCATGTTATTTTATAGTGTTGTTAAGTTGTCAAAGTAGCTTTTTAAAAAAATCAAACCCAAAAGATTTCATCAGCCAAGAAATGACTTTGGCACATTTTCATAGCGCATGTAATTTAATAGAAAATAGATGTTAAGGAAATAGGTTTACCGTAAAATACATGATTAAACTTGTAATTAATCATGGCCACAGCCTCAATGAATTTCAACATTCATCTTATCAGCATAAAATGTTGGTTATAATGATTTTTAAAAATTTATCACATTTAAGATACAGTGATCTTACTATGCAGAGTTGATTTTCTGCTATAGTCTGTTTTAGTCTGTCAACTATTAAGTATTTAATACAATTTGAATATTAAACCTTCGCTTTGGCTCAGCACGAGAGAGGAAACAGCAGAAGAGAGGGCCTGGCCCTCAGGTGCTTCAGTCTGGAAGACTAAATCAATACACATAAAGCAACTAGTATACAGTACAAGACAATGCTTGAATATCCGTGTGGCTGGTTGCACTCAGAGATGCTGGAGTGGCCACTGCCTGACTCCCTTTCCAGCTCAGTATGGTAATTACCTTACTTTGTTTCTGTGTACTATCTAATTTATTTGTATTTTCCCCTTGGTCTTATCCATGTAAATATCCAAACATTTTTCCCCTTAACTGTGATCCTACACCTTGGTCTTTGCCTAAATATGGGGAAAATGGTAAACATGGAAATGCTTTATCTCTGCAGAAGGCATTGTTTTCCCCATCCATCTATGTCTGCCTGAGATGAGGATCAGGAGTTAAATAGGAAAAGGCCTGTAAGTCCTTAAAGAAATGGCCTTCAGGTCCAGGCTCTTGCCT